CAAATATCATGTAATTTTCCACATCTAAGATTTAGAAATGGAATAATAACATAAATATTTGTATTGAAAACTTTTACATTTTGAATAACCTCTTTTAAAAGTATACAATAGCAACGTCCCTTGATAATCAATAATATGTCCATGGCGCTCTGCCCATTCAAGTTATATAGAAACATCACAAGTTTATTATCCTCAGCTGTAGCTCATAGCATTCCACCCTCTCTGTCCCCATGTCTGCAGGTCTGGCATGAGTATGAACAAATACACACAAACCTTTAACAGTGGCTACAAAAACAGCCCTCCTTAACTGGAAAGATAAAAACCATCCTTCAGTAATAGTATCAAACAAGTATCAGACTAGCCAACTGCACAGAAAGATAAGAGGCACCTGAAAACCTTAATAAACACTCATTTAGCAGTATCACTTGGCGTCCTGTGGAAAATAACCCAAGAAATAACTATACATGCACACAAGAAAAATATTTACATTTAATAAGCAACCTCCCGCCTACATTAGTGCCCCAATCTGTAAACTAATCATCTTTTAACAAGGAAGAAAATGTAAAAATCTTTGAACTGCATGTCAGCTACTCACTAACTCTGTTTAGTAACTGTGGTGTTTACTGAGTGCTGTGTGTTTACTACCTAGTAAATGTCATCTGATGACTTCAAATTGTCAGCACTTCTTCCCCAGCTAAAAACACCTATGTGGGTGGATGAGTGGTTACACAATCAGTGCTGGATGATGATAAAATGAAGAGCCCATGTTCTCGTCAAATATCACAGAGAGATTATTTCTCCATTACAGGCAAAAAAATCATTCTAGCGCGAGCAGTAGTACTAGTACATGTTGTTGTGTTTGGGGTGCCAGAGTCAGAATTTGTCAGTCTCTTCTGAATAAATGCAGGGCAAAAGGTAGATATGTAAACATCTTTAAACCCTGAGTTACAGAAACAGTAAATCAACGGGTCCAGCAGGCAGTCGCTGTAAGACAAAACCATGAGGGCGTCGTACACCTGGACAGCTATGTTTTCTGCATCCTGCCAGTTCTTCAGCCGCACAAACAGCAGTGCTGCTCTAGTTATAGTGCAGGGAAGGAAGCAGAAGGAGAAGACAACGACAACCGATGTGACCAAGCACACAGCCCTCCTCAGCTTAGTCTTCTCCCCAACCGTCTTCTTCCTCAGCCGGCTGACAATGCGGACCGTGCAGTAGACGAGGATGATGTAGGGGATGATGATTTGGGAGAAGAAAACAATCTTTAAAAAAACCC